ATAAGGTGTTTTTCACAAATTTCATTTCGTACAATTAAACAAGATTTATTAAAAAAAATGACACAACATTGTTGGGGATCATCCCCATAAAAATATTTTTTCTTTCGCTTGTTTTTTTTTCTTCCTCATACAATCGGTGTATGAACTTTTATTGTAGAGTATTTTATTTGTTATTTAATTTTGTGTTTTGATACAAAATAATTTTGTAAAAAAACACTTATTATTTTGAGTTTCTTTTCAAAAGTACGAAAGCAACGTAGAAAATTGCTTGAAACTTCTTAAACATTTAAAATATGCAAATCGAACTTTTTTCATTACTTCCCTAGTAAGATTCACTACAAAGTTATGAAGGAAAAAAATGTTAATGCATGTAATGCATACGCAATATAAAAGAACTACTTTAATTACTTACATATTGCAGAGCTCTCAGCGATTATTTTTCATTTTTTAAAGAAGAAAAAAATTATAGTTAATCTTGAATTGTAAAAAAAAATTTGTTAAATTTTACTGTATATTTTTAAAGTTACAGCAAAAAACGTAAACAAAAAAATAAGTTTTTTTTGTAAAAATATATATACATATTTAAGCTAGGCTTATTATTGAATATAATAACCAGAATAATTTTTACAAGTTTCAAATTTATTGCTGCATGTTTTGGCATAGGGTGCACAAAAACACTTTTTTTCCTTTTGTAATTTATTGTCGGTCCCCCAGACCTCTAAAAACTTTAAACTTCATTGATTAGTAAGAGAAATTGCTGATTAATGAGAGAAATTGCATAACCTAAACACTTATAAATTCATAAAATGATTCTCTATGAACTTTTTGAGAAATATATTAAAAAAAAAAATTGTTAGTATGTTTCCGTTCTTATGTCCAACCCCTGTATATTATATATGTGGCAATCTGACATCACTTTACTTACCTGTCACTGGCAATTCATTAATGGAATACGCTTCTTTGGAATTGGAATACAAATCGAAATTACGACAATTGGGTGATTTAATTCAACTAAGTGATATACTTCAGCTCCTAACTTGCACATCTCTATACGTTTTATAAATTTCATGCCGATGGCAATTGACAACCAAAGAAATCCCGATCACACAACGTGAATTTTTCGTCAGCTAGAATGGGCCGACATCAATTGAGAAAGTTTTTATGCTATTAACGTTTTTATGTTATGTAAAAATATCACCAAACTGATAATCACAAATTTCATGCATTCAATACACTAACTATCTTTAAACTTTACTAATATTGTTTACTTTTATTTAAGTCTCACTGGAGCTGCACAATGGGCTATAGGCCAAAGTCTAGGAAACACCAATGAGGATGATGCGGATAAAACATACGCACGTTACATCCCGTTTTATAGGGAGGACACATTCACTTATCCTCCATCCATCCGCAGATCGTAATTTTGACCTGAACCAGAGCACGATCAATCTCCAATCCAGTACCACTAGAAGTATTGATTTGTTATGGGAACTTGTTGGACTACGTGAGCCCCGACAGATTTAGCGTGCACCAGTCACCATTTTGTTCACGGGGAGTCTTCAGCCATCAGACATCGAAATCACGACCCCTTAGACAAGGGCCCAGCGTCCTACCAGCCAGACTATCCCGGCTTCTTATACTGTTTAAACTATTTGATATAGCTAAAAAAAAAACTCTGTTTTTAACACGTTCACGCCGGGAAAAGTGAAAATACTGGTAGAAGAATTATTTCAATATTAGATAATATTCGGGAGGAGTTAATCTATTCTCAACAATAACAATTCACTGTAAAGAAATTTATCACGGCGAAGAAGCAATTCAATATAAAAATTGCACCCGTTAAAAGCAATTGGTAGTTATGGATTTTTATTATTCCCGGAAAAAAACTAAAAAATGAAATTTATTGTAACCAGTTTTTACTCCGATGCTCTGCCAAGATGAGAAAATCTAGCGTGACCCACCGGTGGGTCACCCCGGCGTGAACGTGTTAAACAAATTTTTGTAATTCAAAAACACAAAGGCAAAATTTATTTTATATACCTCCCATTATTATACTGTTTACTCCTACAGATTATAAAATTAAATTTAAGTAACAGTTTACTAAACATAAATAGTTAAAATTAGGAAAATGATAAATGCAATAACACGATTCGGATTAATAATAAAATTTACTCCCGAACAAAATTAATTTACTCTCAGCAACAAATAAATTTAAATCGTACAGTTGACTTTTCAACATGTTGGACCTATTAAAAATCTCAAATAAAAACATTCGATTTTTCTTTCAATAAATTCTATTAATTGTTTAACATGTGCATTTGACGCAAAGAAAATGAATTATACTGACGGATTCGATTTTTCTTTGTCAGAAGCAGGATTAATGAATTGGAGTACACAAAATACCACGCTAATTACTTTCTTCGTGGAATGTAGTTCTTTTATTTAGTGTTTTCATCGAAATTAATTTATTCTCCGGAATCAGAAATGCTACTGTTAGTAAGTTTTGATTTTAAGAACTTCATTATTTACTCATCTTTCAACTAATTGAATTCTTTCTGTCATTTCTACTTGATTAAGGATTTTTAAGTTTTTCTCAAGCATTCAAATTATTTTAAGGAAAAAAAATTGAAGAATATTTTGGATTACTTTTTAGAATTTTGCTTGAGGACTGTTAATTAAAATCAGTTTCAGATTTTTAATAAAAATTTGCAGTTTTTTGCCATGTCATTCGTCGTATTTTCCTAGGTCGTTAGAACACAAAAGTAATAGAAATTCGTAAATTCAAATTGCCAATAAAAAAAAAAGACTCCATATCTACTATTTACAATATCAAAATTGCAATAAAGAAACATTATATAATTTTTGTGTCTGTTTGTGTTCAAAGGTTATGCGCCATTAGTTAAAAAAATAAATAAATAAAAAATAATGTGGTAAAGAAAGATTTTTGAAAATAAATAACTACCATGCTAGATTTTAAAAGAAATCGAAAGTTCGAGAAAAAAAATCAATAACTCCATTATTTTTAAGTTGAAAAACACTTTCTAGTCAGATCAATAATTAAGTAAATATAGGTCAATCTTTGAAAAAATTAGGAATGTTGAAATCCGATAATTAGAGCTAAAGGTATTCAGTGTGATTTAATTTTTTGTGGCTCACTGTACAAAATAAAATTAAAAGTTACCTTTGAAGAATAAATGGGAAAAGCCATTGTCTTGTGCCAAAGGTAAGTTTAATTATTAACAAAATGTTCGGATAAAAGCACAGTTGAATTGGTATACTACCTTTCCAAAAGTGGAATATTAGTTCTATCAGCACTACAGCCACTTGCAAGCCATGGCTGCCTGAAGCAGCTTAGTACAGTTATTTATCTGATGTTAGTATTCTTCCTCTGTTTATCCATATGCTGCCTCAGCAACTTTTCTACACTATCTAACTCTAACACACGGTTTGCCTCTTTTAATTTTACCCTCAGGCTTGTTGAAAGTTATTTTTTTAAAACTAGGTTATTGTCATAATATCTATACACGTGACCGTAAACCAAGGCATCGAATCTCCTGGATTGTAATTATCTTGACTATATTTGGTTCCATAAATTTTAAATCTAGATTTGTACTACCTTTCCAAAAGTGGAATATTAGTTCTATCAGCACTACAGCCACTTGCAAGCCATGGCTGCCTGAAGCAGCTTAGTATATAGTTATATTTCTGATGTTAGTACTCTTCTTCTGTTTATCCAAATGATGCCTCAGCAACTTTTTTATATTATCTAACACATGGTTTGCCTCTTTTAATTTTACCCTCAGGCTTGTTGAAAGTTATTTTTTTAAAACTAGGTTATTGTCATAATATCTATAGATGATACCGTAAACCAAGGCATTTATCTTGACTATATTTGGTTTCATAAATTTTAAATCTAGTTTTGTACTCTCCATACAAAACTTGATTGTAATGTAATCTTAAGAGGACACCATACCACAGAAGAAATTTTCGCCGCAAATTATCTTTCACCCCCCCATAACTTATTTAAATTTTTTTGTGTGGTATGCCTGTTTAGGCAGTGGGGGAGGGGCGATTGTTCCTGTTTTTCAGTGGCGCCATCTATGGCCAGGAATTCGACTTCTGCCACGCCATTCACACACAAAGGAGAAAGGACATAAACACACAGAGAAAGAAAGAAACATCCATGCCTTGCCCGGAATTCGAACCCAGGACCTTTCTGATGTAAGGATAGTTCCCTGCCCCCTAAATAGGCCGGTCAGCATTTAAAATTTAAAGTGTAGAAAAAGGGAGTTCAGACAAACCTAGAGAAAGCCTTGAAGTTTAAAATACTGAAAAGAAATTTTTTAAAAAATATCCAAATGAAAATAGCTGTAAGTTTACACAATGGAGAAGTTTTCTACCTATAATTTGTTTGCATTTTGAAATTTTTTTTTCAGCAATTGAAACTTCATGACTTATTCTAGGTTTGTCCAAACCCACATTTTCTTTCCTTTAAATAAGTAATGGAGATGAAATAGAATTTGTGACAAAAAGTTTCTCGTGTGATATGGTGTTCTCTTAATGTTACCAAGATCTTTCTTTTTGTAATTAAGTAGTCTATTTTCTTGTGATACGCAATTAAATTGCTTTTGGTTTGCATGCATTCGGTACATACATACCTACTAATAGCAATGAAATCATTTTTATTTAATGCACCACGATACCAATTTTTCCATAGCTGCTTAATGATGAACACCCTGCAAGAGGATATCTGAAAACTACTGTCTTGAGTTCAATAAAAGTTGATTCCATTGGCTTAAGTTTAGGAAAAAAGAATTTTTTTCCCTTCAAAAGTTGAAATATAATTGAAATTCTATGTATTTTTAATAAGGCAGGCTAGACCCTTGTTACAGATATTTAATTCTTAAATCTATTTATAAATTAATAAAAAACAGAAAAATCTGCAGTTTTTTTTAATAGAAATATCTGATTAAAATGAAATTAAACAAAAACAAAGCATGTAAAATAGTATAGAAATATTTATTTGAAAATGATGGCAAATTGGAAGAAATATATACAACTAGCTAATTCAATGCATCACAAATTAAAACTTTCTAAAAATAAGACAACACATAAACATTCAACACCACATTCAAATCATTCCAGATATTGTGTAACATCTTGAGAAAACAACCACCTTCTCCTGACAATTTAAAAATCGAGTAAAAATAGAACTAATGATAAAAATATAATTTCAAAAACAGAAAATAGCTACATAAAAAAAGTAAAAGAGTCTAATTGTTCTGTAACTCCTTGTTATTTAAATATAAGAGTATTACCAAAAAGAGTGACTAATTTGAACCTAAATAAAAATAAGTTATCACAGTTGCTCGTGAAAATTTAAAATTTCAATTACCATATTTTTTAATCTAAAAATTATTTATGCAGGACCCTATATAAATTAAGGATCGCCATAATATGAGCAACAATGAAACCATTGTTATTACTATGCAAATTGATTTGATGTAAGACATTATCATGATGAAATGATATTTTATTCTGTAACAAAGTCAACATTTAGATAGGTGATTTTTTCAAATGTACATTTTAAGAAACAAAATGACCTATAAATATTTTCTTTTTTTTTTTTTAGTGGATTCTAATTCTTGACTCATAATTGGCAAGAGGAAAAATTTTTTTACATCAAAAAATTTAAATTTCATTAATTTCGAAATTAAAAAATTCTGTAACTCTTTTCAGAAATTAGTTTTTTTTTATTTTTGCTTTCTTAGTTTTTTCAGAAGTTTAAAAAATTTTATTGAATTTTTCAGGTTCTCCATATTGTGCTAAATACCATGACCCAAACTAGATATTTTTCAATGAAAATTTAAAATAGGTTGTGAATTTGTAGAACATTCAACAATGTAAAATAAACAAAAAGTGAACTAAATTAATACACAATATATTAAAAATCTTAGCAGAAGTATTCTAATCACTGCTGGGCACAGTTGCTTTTCTTGATTTCAGGAATATTTGAAGGCTCTGAATTTTCATTAGTAACAGTTATTAATTCATTATTTTGATTATTCATAACCTTTAGTGAGGATTCAACAGGTAGATCATTCAAATGCTTGATTTCAGACTTTGGCAAGGAATGGAAACTATGCAGCTTTGCTTTGTTAGAAATTCTGGGTTGTTTCATCCCCATAAATCCATTTTCACTTATCAATTCCCTTGGATTGATATCATCTTCTCCTTGTGGTACAATATTTTCTTTCATATCTGTTTGAACAAGTGTTTTACATTCACGATTGGACTCAAATCCAGGCATATCTTTCTTCGATTCAGAAGGCTCTGAAACTATAAATTTAAATAATAAAACACTTGCCTTTCAGACAATTTTTAAACATTATATTTCAGTTTACAAATGTAAGTAAAAAAAACCCTGTGGCAGAATTTTTTCGAGCCACCTGCGACAAAACTCTCTAGCACTTATATCTTTCTACAAGATACTTTTATAAATAACAAACATATATGCCATTAATTTAAAATAACAACTATGATTACAAAACAAAAAGCTATATAATCTTTTTAATTGAGCACATAATAATTTTTTATTTTAATATTATGGGGTATATTCTCGCTTTGTGTTAAGGGTGATCCACAAATTATTTCCTTCTTTGCATTCTGTAAATAATCATCAGAATAAAAAATCACGAAATCTTCAATAGTACTTGCTGAAAGAAAGATCACGCGAATTGAACTTCTCAAATGCTATAATTTGAATGCGTCAAAAAGTGATTATCTAAATGCATTATTCAAATATTACGTATAAATTTCTGTTGAAAAGAATAGTAATTTTTTATTTTTCAAATGAAAAAACTTTCTGCAAGAACTGCAACAACGTCGCTGTGTCTCTGCGATTCTGCCACGGGGGCAAAAAACAATGTGAAGATGAATATTTTTCATTTTATTTTCATAAAATGGTTGAGCAAATGTTTAATGAGTGTTTTGCGTCAGAAGATGAAACTGTGAAAAAATACAAAAGCCATTGTATTCAGATGTAAATACGAACAATGAAGAAATACAGTTTTCCACTAAAAAAGTGAGCTTCATTTTAAATAAAATTTTACAAATCAACATTATTTTTCAGTGACCATGAACACTCAGAAAAGATTTTTTAGAATCGTCTTTGTTCCTAATTCAGTTATGGTTTAAATACAAAATATATAACAGAACATTGAGTTAAATGTTAATAGAATAGCCAGACAGTAAAAAAAAAAAAAAATTGTTGCAAGATCAAACTTTTTTTTGTTGGTAATATCAGAATTTAGGTTCCTCAAAACAAAAATTTATTTCCTTTCCCTGATTTTTTTGGAATTTTATTTCAATTCTGTTTTTTTTCAAGATTGATTAAAATTTCTGATATTTCCTTGTTTTACCACATTGTTATTTGGGCAAGATATATTGGTGTTAGATAACGTATCCTGAATATGATACTGGAAACCTTTTTCTTAAAGTTTGGTGTATGTAATTTAAGAAATTTGAGAAAAAATTTCACATTAAATCTGAGTGAAGCTCATACCTACAGGATTTTATAAAGGCTTTTTAGCATTAATCTAGCCATTTATAGAAAATTTCCTTGATAAATCCAGGATCTTGTTAAATAAGGACACACAATAAATGAGTTTGACTGTATTTACAGACCTAACCCTCAATTGCATTAGAAAATAAAGGCTGAAATTCATTTATGAGAGCATAAAAATAAGGTTTGAAAGTTGTACTATTGATATTTAACTCAACTAAAAAATTAAAGCATGCATTAAAGCTTTCAGATAAATTTTACAGATAAACAATATAACAAGTCCAATATAAGATAAAAAATTCATAATCAGGTGGTAACAATTTAAAAAGAATTCTTCGAACTATGTTTAATATCAAAAAGATAATGTTTAAAAATCTAATTTAGTATGGAGAAAATATAAATATTATAAAATTTGTATTTGAACTCTTTAATTAAGATATGGTTTTTGCACCCTCCCCCTTAAGGAAAACAAAAAAGCAAAGAACCAATTTTACACTTTTCTGATATTCAGAAAATTATAAGTAGACTTAACAAATTCATAACAAAAAGGTTTGTCACAAAAAGAATTGACAGACTTTTTTGATTTTGTGAAACTTCTCCATTGTTTTGCGAATTTCCTGAAAATTACAAAATTATGAAGTAGATTTTTCAAAACAGGACTTTTTAAAGGAAAACTGGAATAACTCTTAAAATTAATTTCAGTTACAACAAACTGGTGCAATATAGGTTTAACTAAAATATTGAATTGCAAAATTTTTTACTCTCAGAACTACCTTAATGCTGAAAAAAAAAATAAAAATAGGAGTTCTTATTTAAATTTTAATGCGAACATAGTACATAAAATGTCAGTTCTGTAATTATTAAAGTAACTGAGGTTAACAAAAGTAATAATTTAGTTAAAGCAATATTTTCACAGAAAACAATAGTTTAACATGGTCCTCTCATAAACCAACTACTTAAATGTAAAAAAGATATACTAAGCAACTCAATAAAAACATTGTGCTAGAGTATAATTACAATAAAATTTACTTATAACTTTGAAGAAAATATGTAGGACAGACAGCTATTAAATAAATGCATTTTTTTTTATTGATTTCTATGCTTCACTTGAAAAACAAAGATGGTAACATCAGGAATGTATTTTATAGTAGAATAGCTAGAAAAAATTTTAGTCTATAGTAAGTAAAATAAAAAACAAACATCTGAATAACTTTTGATTTAAGAATCATACTTTCACATACCAACATGCAATTTTAATGGCTGCAGTGATTGACCTTAAATATTCAAATATGGTAGACAATAAGTTATTAAATCAGACAAAAAAAGCATTCTTTCTCTAATTAAACATACATTCTTTTTAAACTGAATTTGGTTGTTGACTCTAAGAAGATGGTAGCAATCTAGAAAATAAAGTCCCAATAAGCAAACCAAGTTATTAAATGGATATTTTGAGAATCTAAAACTGCCTAAAAAAATGGATGTTTATACAGAGAAATTATGTTGTGTTCAATTTCATAAAATAAAATTCTACTTGCACTAAATAATTAGCATATTTTAGTTGCGAGAATTTGAAGCAATAAGTAATCTTCTTAGTATATGAATATCCAATCACTTAGATAAAAAATTATGAAAATATTTTGTTTATTTTTTTATTGTGCAAAAATATTACGTCACTTCAATTCTTTGTAAATATACATAAATACACACATAGTAAAAACAAATCGTTTAAAATTTTTTTTAAAAAAAAACCCCGCAGTTGAAACAATACAGCAGCGCAGTGGAAACAATACTATTGAAGAATAATTCAGTATTAATACTCTTTATTTTTGCACTAATATATATTGTAAAATGAGTAGCACAAGTAAACCATGATTAGGGCTGCAGGTTTGTCGCGGCACGAATTTCCGCAATGATTTCCTAAAATTCGCGAATTTCTCAATATGTCTTGACCTGGACGAAAATTGCTTAAAATTTTATTTTTTTATTTTCCTGAATCTTAAATTGAACATTTAAAATTGATTAGATATTTAGGGGAGTGAATCAATAGCAAAATGACATGAAAATAGTTCAGAGATAATCACAATCTTGTCAACTAAGGTGGTCTTTCTACACTTAGGGAGGGTAATTACCTTCCTGAAGTCAGTAAGAGTACAAAAGAAATTGGAATCACAAAAGAAGGAAAATATTATAAATCAAATCTTTGACAGAAAAATTGTTATACATGCTATTGCACTGGGCAATGAAATTTCTACAGCCTTTCTACATATCCAGTTAATTTTTCCTAGACGGCTTCTTGTGATTTCTTAAATATGGATCAGTTTCTTAGATGAAGAGGGAGTAGTAGTTAGTAGGGTCTTGTAACTAGTAGTTTGAATGTAGAATGTTTGAGTTTTCACAGCAATTACTTCTTACAAAGCAACGGTCAAGGAATTAAGCATTGGTGAAGGAAAATTGATTGAGTTTTGGAAATTAAAGACCGAACACTCCAAAATTGGCAAAAGTGGCGTTGATGCAGAAAGATCGTTTTCTAAGTATAAAAATGTATTAAGTGATGAAGGACGAAGGGTAAATGAGAATAATCTGACAATGTACAATACTTTGTACCAAAATTCTGTTCATTTAAATAAAAATATTAATCTTGCTTGAAATTCAAAGAAATACTTTTGCTGTGTATTTTTAAGCTTTTTTTTATTATTTGCGCAATTTCAGTCTTTTGCATCATTTATATTATAAATTTTTTTATGCTTAGAATTTGTGTAATTTTCAAAATTTCCCGCGAATTTCGGGTCTCTTTTCTCGCTACAAACTTGCAGCCCTAACCATGATTACTTAAGTGTAGAAGAATTGAAAAGTTTTAAAATACTTTTAAAAGTGATTTTCGAACAAATTTCGTCAAAATTAGACGGTGAGGAAAAGGTTGAAACTAATTACACAAGAGTTAATTGCTTGCTGAAAGTTTTTATTTGAGATTTTGTGTTTGCAAAAAGTTTTTCATTTTATTTAAGTCCAGGTATGCAAATTAATATTTATGTGCTGATTCAGTTGAACATATTTTTAAAATTTCTCTAACAATTTATTTTTACGTATTTAACATTATTTCTTGATTTACAGAAATTACTTCTACTTTTAGAATACAAATATTAAACAGAAAATTGAAGAGGTTATTCTAAAATACCCAATATGTTCCAACATAGTTTTAACATTTGAAGTAGCATGCTTAAATGCAATTATTTATGGCACTCAATTAAATATGACATACTATAAAAGATAATTGAATATAATAGTATCAGTTATAGACAGAGATCAATTCAATTTTTAGGAACAGTATGTTATCAGGGGTGATTGTGAGCCCAAGTCAAAATTCCGGAAAATTTATTGAGTTAAAAAAAAAGAAGTTTAAATTGAAAAATTAGAAAAAAATTTAAACAAGGTTTTTTTCTTTTTCTCAATATTGTTAGTTTACTTAAAATATTTTTAAAATTTTACACATACCTACACCATTTACACATACCAATGATGACCTGGAGAAGTAATTAAAATTTACAAATATGTCTTTCTTTCTTGAGTTTATGATTATAACAACTATTTACTGATAAAAAAATGAATATTAATCATGAATATAAGCTTATAAAGTATCTCTCTGGCTCTCCCTTTCAAACAAATAAAATAAACTGTGTTTTTAAGTTCCACCTTTGAAAATTTGATTTCTGGAAACTTCTGTGATCAATGATTTTTTGAGACGTCCGGACCTTCGATCTCCGGAAACTTCCGGATCATTGTTAGCGAAAATTCCGGAAATTCGGAGCACAATGAGCCCTGTGTTATTGAATGGAAAGTATAACTTCTTACTGTAATGAAAATGATTAAACAAAAAATTTATATTATGTAACTAATATCAGAACACGACACTTCAGTTCTAAAGGCACATAGCTGCCAACATGGAGAAAAAATCCAGTGGATTCCAGAACTCAACCAAAATTATACACAAGAAAAAGCACACTGTTTTCATACCATATAACATATAAGGAATTTTTTTAATTAAACAAAACATAAATAAAATACCAAAAAATAACAATTAAAATTTTAAATTATTCGACAAACTCTGAACTTTAATAAAACTAAATAAATATTCATTCTTTATAAATTATTAATACTAAAACCAAATAGTTGGAAAAGGGTACAAATAAAACTTTCATTTTAATAAATAATTCAATAAAAAATTCTTGATAAAATTAGGCGCCACCACCAGAAATCACCAGAAAAAGTTTGCTCATAGCATTTTCCATTTGAAGAGCATTTCATCAACTGAAAATGTTCTAAACTGTAATTCGACATTGAGGAGAGAAAGTTTAGTTGAATCTTGCTGAACAAGCATTCATATTCTGTGTTACTGTGTGGTATGGATAATACATTCAAGAATTTTCCTGTAAATTATTTTGTTACTCCTTAACAGTGCCGTTCCTGGGGTGGCGAACGCCTGCGTGCAAGAATAATTTCGTGCGCCCCTATATATTATGCTCAAATTTTGATGATAAGGCCAATTTTCATAATCATTTTTAGTTTGAGGTTTAAACTGAATAGTTTCCTTATAGACTAAAGTCACTTTAGTGTAAGTGTTTGATTATGAAAATGGGCGTAATAAAATAAAACAACGAAAAAATATGAAGAAAAATTTATTTTAGACATCAAATAAAATAGACTATTAACGTACAATATAGGTCATAAATAAAACACGTCCATTCGGAAATTAACAAAAAATCTAATATAACTCAATTCACTCAACTGAGTGAATTGAGTTAAAACTCTCAAACGGCGCTCAACGAAACAAATCCGTTAACTTGAAAATGTGCAAGATCTGTCTAATACCTAAGTATCAAATAACAAGGTAGTTTTAGAACATAACACGTCTTGCTTTTGCAGATGCAAGCTCATTGATCATTTCATTGTGATCGATGGCTTCACATATTTTATTTTTGATTGAAATAACAGCTAAATCTGAAAGCCTTTCCTGGCACATCGAAGTTCTCAAATAAGATTTTACAAGTTTTAGCTCTGAAAAACTCCTCTCGCCAGACGTAACAGAAATCGGCAGCGTCAAAAATATCCTTAATGCTATAGACAGGTTTGGAAACAAAAACTGCAAATTTTTCTTGGTTATATAATTCAGAATATCTATGGGTGAGTCTGAGGTATTGCGAGAGTCTTTGACTGGGTTAAGGATTTTGTATGATGAAATTACATTGTACAAATCTAGACCATCAATATCCTTGCAAACATTTCCTTCATGGTGAATTTGCAAAGCCAAATACAAATCTATGCACGATCGTTTAATCTCATCAGAATTTAGGTTTTGAAAATCACTCAAAAATCCAAATAAATCATTGCATTGCTTCAATCTCTCAAAACGACTTTGTAGGGATTGAACTGTTGTATCCAAAATTTGAAAGTAAAAACTGATCTTAAATTTTCGCTTTGGATCTAGAACTGGATCGTCTGTACTTTCATATGAAAATTGACGCTTTCTCTTTCGTTCCCTAATTGAAAGATTTGTTTGCTCTACATCATTTTTTCCAGCTTCGGCTTTAGCCTCATTCACAAAAACATCAAAATTTCACAAAAACATTTATATTAGTTTACTGTTTCTTCCTGTAATCAAAGTTTACAGCTTTGCTATAATTTGATTTTTAATAATTTGCTATAATTTGATTTTTTTCGAATCGTTGAATTTGGCGCCCCTTAAATTGGGCGCCTGCGTGCGGGGCATTCGCTGCATACCCGCCAGGAACGGCACTGCTCCTTAACAAGAGATCATTGATAGTCAGCTCTTTCCACATTTAATACATTTGTCATTTGCAATTGATAAAATTGTGATAGATCCACAGAACAGTTTAAAGACTGGAAAATTTTGCAAAAAATACTTTTCACTCAAAAAGGAGCACTTTTGAATAATGGTCAGGTTGCAGACCTCTGCATGATTTAAGGCCAAATCGCTGAAGAGGAATTTATTGACTATATGTATGCGCAGCTAAATCTTTCAACAAAAAATAAGCACCTTTCAAGCACTTAAAAAATATTTTTAAGCACTATATACATTAACAAAATGCAAAATAATTTTCGAAGACTTTACATGATCATATAAAACAACTAGTTTCTGACAAAGCTTTTTTTTTATTATATTAGCCATTATAAAATGCTCAAGATATTTTTTGGTTCAATATCAGAGGGTGGAAAATGAAGCCTAAAATTTAAAATATCCTGCAAAATGCACATGAGAGTGCAATAATCTCACCGAACCCAGTTCAGTAGACGCATATGCAGATTTGCAAGTAATTCATAAAACATCTAAAATTATTTGTGCTTTCATACTCTATGGGGCGAAAGTATACCAAAATAGATTGTGGTTAAATGAATTGTGAAAATGTTGATAGAACAATGTGAAATGCAGGCTTTTTCATAATACGTGGCGAAAATCAACACGGTTAAGAAAATAATCTCATTCTCGAAAAGAGAAAATTAAGCACTTTTTAAAAGCGCTATGCACCATGCAATCACATAATATGATCTAATGTTATCAAAAAACAAAGTTTTCTCTTTCTCACTCAGTTACATCACAACTGAGTAGGTTTCATTCCCTATTAGAAGGTCTTCATCCTTTTTTATAGTTGTTTTTATTACGATAATCTAACTGTAAACAATCATCTCTGTCAAGAGAATTTTGTGATAAAAATTTTGTTAAGGTTTGTTGAAAAAAACGCAAGGAAATAGAATGTAACTTGAGAAAGAAAGCTGCATTTTATCAAAATAAGAGCAAATAAAAGCAGCGAAAAGGCAATAAATCTTATTGGTTTTCAATGATAAAATATAAAACAATCTTTCCTCCCTTTAAAGGATAGTATTTTTAATATTCAATACAGGTTCACCAACCTTCTTCTTAATAGTTTGATCAGTTCTTTTTTTTTTAAAGCTTGTTTGTAGTTTTTTTCAGTCTAATTAGCTTGCTAATTAGACTGAGGGCTATAACTCTATCAAAACAGTCACAACATCTGCCTTTCCCCCCCATCATCAGACAATAAAGACATGCAGTTTGTAAGAGGTACCTCGTGCTTCTTTAAAAGATCTATAACAAGGTTTCCAATATTTACACCAGTGCAATCATTATTTAAAGTTGGTAAATCTAATACATTATTTTCAACAGATTTTGATTCAGGATTTAAAAAAGTAACAATCACAGGATACAGCTTCAAGTCAAAATTATTGCTACCATCAGTAGCAACTAAAAAGGGCTGTCTTTGAAAAATTATCTTTAATTTTTCAGTTACTTGTGCAGAAAACTCTCCAAAATACTTGTTCTTCCACATCTACAGTTGTTTACTAGTTTGTTATCAGGAAAAGTTTTTTTAACATAGGTCTAATATAATCTGCACAGCTTAGGCAGGTTGTGTTCTACTAAGAGTGATGTGAACAGACATTCTGCACATATTAATAAGTCCCCCGATTTTTTAAAGAAGTTATTTATTTTATCACTCTTCGAATTGGCAGAGGAATTATGATGATGTTTCACACTGTTAATATGGTTTCTTATATCACCCTTACCAGAATACGAAATATTGAAATCAACGGCATATTCTGAACAAAATACATATTTATCACCTTTTCAGGATTTTAAGATGGATGAAAATTCTTTAGAATATAATTCTTTATAAGTTTGATAGTATTTCTTTATATATTTAGAGTCACCCATAGTAAAATAAATTCGAATAATTCACGAGTAAGCTTTTCTACCAAGTGGATTCGCAAACAAAACAACCATCCACTCAGAAAAAAGGTAGGTAGAGCCGTTTAAACCTTATTGATTCCAGGTTATGTTTACCTAAATCGAGCTTTGTGTTTTGAATATTTCGTCCAGAATCGTTGCATACTTTGAGTTTATTGTATTGTGTTTTAATATAAATTTTACAGACGAAAGCAATTTAAAAATATTGGATCCAACCAGCCTGATTCAGATTTGATAGAATATTATTTTTCCTGTAATAGGTTCTTTTTTAAAAAATATTACCTAAGCATAGGGATATTTCCATAAATGTAAAAAAAATCAGCCATGGAGTTTTAATTAAATATCAGTCTTACCACAAACATCAAATTTGGATTTGATTTCTTTTATTTCTTGCTTTAGTGCTAGATTTTCACTTTTCAGTGCTTGTAAGGACTCTTGGCAATCATAGAGTTCTTTTAATGAATTAAAAAGTCTATTCTCGAAATCCATGGCTCGCATTCTTTCACAAATCAATTCATTTTCAACTTTCGTAGTTTTCTCTCTGCAATTAAAATGTTTATTTTTAATTAATTTATATGCATTAAAAAAGTGAAGTTTTACTAGGGTGCCCAAAAATATTGAAAAAAAAATTCCTTGACTTTTTCTGATTTCTCCAGACTAATTTTATCGAATTTAACTGCTTTTTGTAAACAGAAGTATGAATTTTATTATTAAAATATCAGTCATGCCTAATTCGTAAACATAAAATATAAATCAAAACACTCCTAGTTGCAATTAGAGTTGAAACTAAATATTTTTTTAAAAATTATCACAAGACAAATTTTTTTAATGAAAACTATTATACTTTTAGGACATTAAACTCAAATTAATTTAGTTTCTTTAATCTTTTAGAGGTATTTTATTCAAATTCCCTGACTTCTCTCCGTTAAGCCTCATTTTCTTGTTCAGTGACCACCTAGTTTGTACAACAAGTTATATTCTTTCTTCTTTGTCTTTTATTACCTCTTTTACATAAAAATTCATTAAAAATTTTTATACAGACCTGCCCACCTCAAAAGTTAAAAAATGCATGAAACTTTTCGTGACCATGGCATAGCATAAGCAAAACAATAATAAATATTAAAAACAAATTTTCCGAATACATTTTTTTTCAAAAACTTTTCCTTAAAACAAAATTTGTAGCATCGAAAGATTTAAATCTTTTATTGTCCAGAATAAGCAGCTTAATTTTTAAAATTTTAATGTTACATTAAAATTTATTGAAATTTGTTTGAAAAAAATTATAAAATTCCTTAAGCTTGTTATGCAGATCTCTTCAATAAATATTAAACTACATGGTTGTTGTTTAGTACAAATTTATCACAGAGAAAGGACAATATTTTATCAAAGACTATTTTAGATTAGGTTTATATACTGAAACAGCAGGTAGTATAGTAGCTCAATGCTAGGGTTAGTGAATCTTATCCTCTATTGTAAACCCATTTTTTATTTATTTATTTTTGCATTTATTTATTAAGAGCAAATAAAGTAAAGTAAGAACAATAAACTCAACTCAGCCTGTTGATTTAAGACTCTCAAGTAGTTGTATTGGTCTCCTTTCACAGGAACTTGTGGTTTATTCAGTAGAGCTTTCTCTGCTTGAGACAATTTTTCACTCAGTTCCCTCTTTTTATGCATAGCATCGGCAAGCATTCCTCTTAGCTTTTTAATTTGATCTTCCTGGTGCTTTTTACTAGTACTACATGCCAAAATTGATAGTTGTCCCTAAAAATATTAACATAATTAGAAGATGTGATTACTATACCAAATTAAATCTTCATAAGATTTTCGGTAGATATAAATATATAATTGTTTAAAAATACATTTTATCTTGCTACATTTGCTAGTCAGTCAATACATAATGTGTGTATTTAAAGTAATATAAATATATTCACACAAGATGATTACTATATGTCGGCAGATTCCAACCAGCCACAACTCAAGTGGGTATAAATTTTCTACTGAAGTTTAGAAAGTTATGAATTCCAAAAAAAGTCATAAGAATCTCATGCCTGTTTAATGAACTTTGTTTACAAAATAATAGCTATTTAATACTTATTAACATAAAAAAATTACCAAATTTAAAAAAAAGTGAAAGGAGGAAATTATTTATAAGAAATAGTGGAAAACCTGTCATTTGTTAAATAATCATCGAACAAATGAAACTTGAAAATAAATAGATTACCTTACAGCTCATGAGCTCTTTTTTATTTTTTTCATAATTTTTCAGCACGTTTGCATACGTTTTACTCAAATCCTTGTACTGTTGTTCAACATTCTTTCTTCGATCATCAAGCTCAGCAAACATAGAATTTCCTTGACGATTTACATTGAGTTGGCCAAGTTTTAAAGTTTCGATTTCGCACTTTAGTTCAGCAATAGTCTCCTGAAGGTCTGCAATACGCTAAAATAAATTAAACATTTTCAATAGTAGTCAGTAGTAGATGAAGATTAAAAAGTTACTATCAACCATACGAGTTCACCTGGAAACAAACATAGAGAAAATTAACATTTCTCAAAATGCATAGCTGTCCATTATGCATTGTTAGCTAAATACATTGTCTAGCACATCAGAAAATTGAAATTTTATGGAAGCCGATATTAAGACATTTTCTTAGATATATATTTTCTTTTACGACAGAAATTTCCACTCAGCACTATTGTACACATAAAAAACATTGTTAAGAATTTCAATTATCGCACATGTCATACTTTCATTTTTAGTCATCCTACAACTTATGCAATAAAGTATGAAACGTGACTAGATTTTTGACTATTGTGATAAGATATTCTTCACTTAAAATATGATTACAATTTGCTTTTAAAAACATAATTAAAATATGAAATCAAGCACACTGCTAAAAGAAAAAAGGTACATCATTATAAATGCAGAGTAGAGGGAGAGTCTCCACAGCTATGCTTAAAAAAATAACACATGCCTAAAAATGCACTATAGACATAATATTTGCACATACAGAACAATTATTAAAATTATATATAACCAATTAAACCATAATATGAGAGGCAGTGTATAAAATAATCACAAAATTAGAATAAATCACTCTTTTTATTTGTTTTACAAATATTTTTGATCTCATAATTAATTAAAATTCTCAAAAACTGTCTCTTCACTTTTAGAAATCGGGCAAGGAACATCTCCTAAATAAAAAATCCAATCCAGCATTTGCAAATCCAGATGTTTTAGTGCTTATTTTGATCTTTTCTCAGGCATATCTTATATGGCAACATCTTCATAAATCACTCAATGCATTTTCAAACCTTCTATGCAGATATGCAGCCCCTCAGTCATCAATGTACCCCAATTAAAATTCAGGGCCCATGCTGAGCTTATGCCCCCTTGCCAAATGCTATAAAATCATAAATTCAACGAAACAAATTGTATTTTGGTGAAAGATTTTTCTACCAAAAAGACATTACAATTCACCTCGGTTCTCAAAATTAGGTCAATAAAAATTTTTTTGAGCAAATTTTGATTTTTTTTTATTCCATTACAGCAATTTCTGTGAGATACATTGCGTAAGTAATTATAATTATAATATGTCTAGATGATGTAAGCATAAAAAATAAACGTGAAATACAGATTAAGTGGTAGGTATATGCATAGTATGATCCAATAATTTTCTTACAACAATATCATATAGTTTATTGAAATAAACTTATTGTAAAATTTTCTGAAATTGATAGTGTTAGCAAAGTGGAAAAAAATGGTGTCGAACTGCTTATCTTGGAATCTACCATGAACCATTTGTGTTATTTCTTCAATTGCATGGCAGAATACAGTTAAAAAAAGAAAATAAATGATCAAGCAATTTGCATAAGATCCTCAGAGATTCTCAAAAATATTTATAATGTTGAATGTTAAGAAAAATGGATATATCTGAAGAGAAAATAGGATGTAAAACTAGAAGGAATGAAATCCCCACTCCTCTGTAGCTATTAGACTGAGAAACTTCACAAATTGCAAAGGAAGGGGAAAGATAAACTGTTTCTTCTTCGCCATCCAGCTAGGACACTGACAGGAATGCAAGAAAATATATATAAGTAAAAATAAAAAACTTGTTTTTAAGAGATTCTAATCTTGTTATTTGCTTTGTGTAACATTATTTTCAGTTTAAAAAATGAGATTTATTAGAGAATAGTTCTCATAGTGCTTACCATAAAAACGATAGAAAAGAGTATAAAAGGACAAAGAAAAGGGCACAAGCTATAAAAAAGGCAAAATGTTGAATTCTGAAAAGATGTTTAAGTTATTCAAATTTATCTAAATAACTCAGAAAATACAAAACACTCACAAAATTTTAAATAAATAAAATAAAAAAGATATGCCAAACTACCTGCACTTCAGAAGAGAGATTTTTATCTCTGTCTGATACAGCCTCTTCCAACTCCTTAACTGTCTGCATCAATCTTTTCTCACTCAGTTTAGAAGATTCCAGTTCATTTTGAAGTTCCCTTGTAGCATTTTCCAAAGTTTTCTAATTTGCATGAAAAAAAAAAGAAAGAAAATTAAGTTTTGATGAAATAAAACTTATATAATGTGACTTGTACAGAAAGCTTATTTAAGAAATAAAGTAGAATAAAGTATAAGTATTTAAGAAGTAAAGTTTCATTTGAGTCCCAATTATCTGTCACGTTGGTAATCATAAACCTCTTACAATGCTTGTTTAATTATTATTACAGCAAGTGTTACTTAATTACTGCTGTGATGATGAATCCAAAATTAAGCTTCTAAAAATAAAACATTTAAATAGGAAAAAAATTGTATACTTTTTTTTTTTCATAAATGTTTATCATAAGGGTATTTATGATCAAAAAATGAAGCAAAAGTGTTTTTTATTTGAAATTTTACTATAGCCAATGTTTATTTACAGTAATTTCAGTCATAATTTAAAATTTATGCACTAAAATATCAATTTGAAACAGACCCCTGATTACATGATGTTTGAGTTTTTTCCCCATATGACGTTATTAGGGTGTTGGTTAATCCGTCTTCTACTATGTAAGTATGAATGAATATATATATATAATGGTGGTAATCGTGCAAGCAGCAACAAACAGTCCTGGATTTTAAAAAGAGAAAATTATTTTAATTTAACCATCATAATTAGAAAATGAATATCCAAGTGACACAACATCGGAGTGCTCCTCATTAAAGTTAGAGAAAATCTTGCAACTTAAATCCGTAAAATGTTTAATTTTAGGGAATAATTAGGCAATAATTGAAAACAGACTGATGGGCAATTCCACGAAATTGTCAACTTTTAAGTGAAATTTTTTTTTTATGAATTGCATATTTTAACTNTGTCAAAAAAAGATAAATTAAATGTATGTTTGCAAGATTCATTTGTTGCAATGAAAAAATTTGTATTTAAAACTAGTGACATTTAAAAAAGGAAAGAAAGATAAAATTAAGGGGTTAAATAGTGAATACTCTGGTATGCGATTTTAATTTCTGTAACACAATAATATTGAGAGTTTAAAAAAATCATGTAAAAACCAACAGCTAGAACTGCCATACAAAAAAAAAAAAAAAAAAAAAAAAAAAAAAAAAAAAAAAAAAAAAACAGTTTTAACAAATATTGAGCATGTCAAAAAATAATTACTCAAGCATGCGCTCAAAATTTTGCTTGTTGTAACAATATTGGAATTTTAAAAACTATGAGAAGATCAATTGTAGTAACTGCAGAAAAATATCTAAACGGGGGTTTAAGAGTGTCTTGAGCGCACTGAAAAGTGATTACTCAAATACACAATTTAAAACTTTAATGTTGTAATCAAACTCATATACACGAACAGGCTAACGATGTTCACGGAAAATTTGCCAACATCGCAGAATTGTTTTAGAAATAATTACTAAAAGAGATAAAAAAAACTGCTTCTTCAAAGAGAAAAGGTCTATCAAATTGTTGAGAAAAAAAAATTTAAATCACAAACATCCAAGTTTCGTATTCATGTGATTTAAAAATCTCATATTGAGATTGAAATAAACACAATTTAAATAAATAAATAAAATCTAGCATAGATATTTTACTTAAAGTGTTGATAACATTCTGAGGATAAATGATTCTGACATACACTTTTAACTTTGACAACATTGACTTCGCTCAAATTTTAGATATTTTTCAATAATTTAAAAAGTGTTTTTGCACATAAAATTTTTGGATTTCTATTTTTAGTTTTTCTGGTTTCTTAAAAACTCATCCTTATGGCATGAATCAATATAAAGTTCTACAAAAATATGTGAGTTTCAAACAAATTAAAATAAGATAACAACAAAAGTGTTTGAAACTAGTTACAAAAATGAATCAATGAGAGCAGAAAGTTTTTAAATTGTGATTCTTTGTTCGCAGAAAGTATTTAATTTCATCTAAGTACTATTATATTGAAAAGAAATTCTTCTGCAATGAATTATAATTTATAACAAAATTGCTATTCATTAAATTATAACTTTAAAAAAATGAGAAAAAATGAAAAAAATTTTAGCAAACGATGCTTTAATGTTTGCTAATTTTGAAGTACTTTTTAGATTATCAATTTATTATGGATTTTTTTTCATAGTATCGTGTTTTCGAAGCTTATTCGGTGTTTTGTTTTTTCTCTAACAAATCAGCATAAAAAAAGTAGCTGTCATATGTGATGAGAACTAGGAATGAAAAAAAAAAAGGTTACTAGTAAAGGCGGAACATCTCGTTAATGAGAGTTCTTATAAATGTAAATTTCAGATTAGCAAAACTCCAGAAAAATTTTGATAGAATAATCATCGATCTTGAGATTCACGGAAATCTGTGAATTAGTCGAAGAATCACATGCCTGATATTATATGATTTATAAATAAATTTAAAAATTGTGATTTTTTTCTTTGAAAACCTTTATTAGTTTTATAGAAAGATACAGAATGAATTTTAACCAAAAAAAAGTAATTGTCTTAAATAAAAAATGGAAATAATAAAATTTGAATCACTGGAAAAGTTTCTTTATGACATATGATTGATTTTAAAAATAGATTAAAACACGCAGATGATAAAGTGGAGCCCTTAATATTTCAAAATCCAAAATTGATTGTGAATCTAAATATTCCCAGTTTCCAAAGAGTTTCCACAATAAATGTTTCTGGGATTTCAATTAATGCAACTAATATTAATTTCTCTCAAAAATAAATAATAATAAATACTGTCAGCTAAAAAATTTTGTTGTTAGAAACATTTAAAGAAAAAAGTATATTGTTAGAAAAAAGTATATGCTGCCATTTTGAATGAATTCACTGCAAAATTAGGTACTAAAATTAATATCATTAAATACTAATATAAAGTTAATTAAAAAAATTAATATAAAGCCTTATTAGTAGGATAGGCAAAAAATCTTGAATCGTTCAAAAAAAAAAAATTCTGTTATTTAATTTAGATTTTTGTAAAACATTTTACCAATAACAATCAATGTTCAAATGAAATACATTAATATTATATATAGCTTAATATTATTTAAAAGCAATATTATAACTTCAGTACTTCCTAAGTTTAACTAAAATAGTTAAAATTATTATGTAATTATTGCAAACTAATCAATGAAAAAATAAAATTACAGCTGATTTTATTCAATTTTATTATACTCTCACGAATTTGTTTCAAAAAATAAATTAATTATATCAGGAAAATTTTAAAAAAATCAATTATTCAAAATTACTCTTTGCAGAACAAGTCTTTCTTCATTATTTATAAACACAAACTATATGTTAAATGAGTTTTAAAAGTATTGTTTATTCAAAACAGTAAAAAACTGAATTGCTATATTCGAAATATGTTGATGCATTGTTGTCTGGTGATGGGTCAACTCGTCATTGCACTTGCATTATCTATTCAATTTATGAAACACAGGGCAATATAGAATATTCCAAAGTTTAATTTCATTTTATTCAGGATAAAAAATTTAATAGATTTCACATCAAATGTTTTACTCATCTTCCACATTCCTTTACAAAATAGTATCTGGTGAGATGATATAATTTCGGAGAAAAATCACCAGTCAACAGATCAAACCAGTCATATAGATCAAATTATTATACATACAATGAACAGAAAGTTATAATTTAAAGTTCATATTACTTTAATATTTAATCATTTTTAATTTTCTTTTAGTCAATTATAAATACAAATAGTTTATATACATTACCCTCTGATTACTCTTCAAGCTAAAACTTTTAATATCAATCAGATAAGATTTTAAACAAAATCGAAACCTTAAAAATACATTTGTAAATTATCTTTAAAAAAGAAGGGAAAAAAAGAAAAAACAATTAATCAACGATTTTATCAAATTTTTTTTTAAAAATCAAGTTATTTAAATCATGTGAATTATGTTTGCTAGGTAATAGTTATATAGTAGAATAAAATTTTTTTTAGAACTATTGAAATAACTGTTTAAAAATATTTCTTTTTCATAAGAAAAAGAGGAATAATAAAGATAAAACATGCAAAAAAATTCAAGGAAAAATAGTTTCAATGTTTTCTTAGACTTTACTACTATTCAACCACACACATTAACTACTTAAATAAAAACAGAGTTTAAATAATATTTTATTAAAATATAGAATTACTGGATTAAATTAACTTACAATTTTTGAAATTAATTCATTCACATCAGGAAGATCTTCTTCACATCTTGTATCATTCACGAACGAAACATTTTTGAGCATTTCCACTTGTTGTTCTAGAATAGCAACCTTACTTTTAATAGTAGAGTTCTCCAGCTGTAAATCCTCAATCATCTTTTCTAAATCCTGCTTCTAAAATAATAAAAAACAAAATGGACGATAGTCAATAAAATAGAAAAAACATTATTTGTTGTCAAATCAAATCATTAAGAGATGAATTAAAGTTCATTGGAATGACAAATCTGAATTAACATAATATATTTTACTGAATTTGCTAAATGTTAAAATAGTGAAAAGCCTTTCACTTCACACTTTTTTTAAATCCTTTCTTTAAATATTATTCAGTTTTTCCATAAAATAACTTAAAAACACTAAAAATTGTTTAAGTAATAAAGTACAAAGTGCTAAAAAAAATTTTAAAAATTAGTGCAGTCAATAACGATATTTTAAGTTATGAAATCAGATACAAAAAAGTACTTTTTCTAATTAAAAATATTTTTTTTAACGGATTTGGATTTCTGACCCTCAAAATATAGGGGGTAGCCACCATCTGGGAAATTTGATCCCAATAGTTTGGTCAGGAGAGCGATCCAAAGTTTGGATTCCATAATGTTAATATTACTTATTGCGTATTTCGCCATAGCTCGAAAACTTTTTAATCAAATTGAAAATTTTATGCAAAGAACTACAAAATTTGATTATCTGAAGGCCATTAATTCCATGCAAAAAATAACTTTTACTAAATACTTATTACTTAATTCGATAATAGTCGAAAAATGCTTGATTTGTAAGGTAAACAATTTTTTACTTCATTTTAAAGTATGTAAATATATATTGCAAAATACAAAATTTGTGCGAAATCGGTTGAATAGTTGCAGAGACATGAAATTTTAAATACACAACTTTTTTAAAAATCAATTTCCCAGGAACTACTTAGCCAAACACTTAAATTTTGTAAATTTGCCATGTAAAATTACATACTTTAAATGGCGTAAAAAGTGTTATACTTTACAATTGAAATTTTCTTTTTGACTATTATAAAATAATAAATATTTACTAAAATTTAATTTTTGCATGAAATTATCTTTTAATAATCGAATTTCATAATTGTGTGCAAAAAAATTTTAATGATCCCTAAGTCAAGTTCAAAGATTATGGTATTGATCTATAAATACAAAAATGGAATAGAGCAAAAAGGCCATTGACTTTCCAGTGACCAAGCTGCTGGTTCTTCACCAGTGATGAAGTTAACAAGAAAAATAAAATTTCATTTTGCTATTAGGGAAAAAAGTTGGCAATATTTAGTTGTTCCTCATCATTGGACAAAAATTTGAAACTCATCAGTTTGATTTGAAAGGGCGGAAAATTAAACCTAAAGTTGGTGTCCAGCTCAGTGTAAGCACATGTGAATCTGAAAGTACTTCAGTAAAAATGTAAAATCATTGGTGCTTTCATACGCTGCGGATTGACGCTAAGTTAAAATGCATTGTAATTGAATGAATTGTGGAAAACTTTTTTAAAATGATACACACCCTGAATTAATATTCTAAAATGATTTTTAACTCAAACTGATCCAATACCATAGCTGCCAACTTGTTAAAAATAATATTAAGAACACAAAACATCTTAAGCCAATAAGGGGTACTCGTGATTCAAACTGAAAAATCCTAAAAATTTTATGCACAAAAAATCAATACCAATTTATAAACCACATTTCATAATAAACATAATTTTTTTTTACTAAACATTTTTAATTAAATTACTTACTGATGAAAAATGTCACAACTTTGTAGTAACAAATTCAAGAAAAAACTTACTTCATACAAATAAAGAATTGCAAAATAAGATTTTGAAAACGAATCAGGATACACAATCGTGAATACGAATCGTGTGAATACAAATCACAATATAAATACGAAAATCAATGTTTGCTATTACAACTGCGTCAATACGAATCGCAATATTAGATTTTAAAAACGTGTAAATACAAATTGCAATATTGGATTTTTAAATTGCAGGAATAGAAATCGAAATGTATGATTTTTAAATTGCAGGGGATCTGTCTGAGATTAGGGATCTGTCTGAGATTAGAGCGCAGTTTCAAATATTTAAAATAGCGAAAATCCACCAAACCAAAAGAATAAAATTGATGGAAAAATCATAGATACGTAAATCTCTTAACTAGATTTTGCAAAACTTTCAACATTTTGTTGGATTATAAGTTTTTGATTCTCGGAAGTTCGCGAACCAATGGTCTTGAGATGGGCGGAACTCTACTATATTTGCAGAAAAATCCCAGGCACTGCTTCTAGAGTTTAGACCCTAAAGTGGGTTGAAAGAAAATCAGTATAAGGAGTGAAAAGGCACTAAAATACTGAAAAATCAGAACATTTTGACCTAAAATCGTATTTACGATTATGATTTAATCGGAATAGTTAGCAGCTATTGAATTGAATAGTAATGTAATTTGTAATCAAAAATGATTTTATTATTTCATAATAATACAAGAAAATAAATGTTCTCTCTGCAAAAAGAATACTTGGTTTTATTTTGCATACATAAATCTGCTAGTGTGCAATATAAATAGTTCTACAAAGATTTTGATTATTTTTCAAGTTATAGTTTTGAGGACTTTTTGTTTTAAGGCACTTCATAACAATGAAAAAAAAATTTTTAACTTATTTTTATGAAAATTTTTTCTAAATCAAATGTTTGGAAAAGTTTGTTCTTTTGGTATTTTACTAAAATTCAACTAGTGCTCAAATATACTATAGAACATTAAAATATTTGTCATGTTTAGAAAATTTAAATATTTGTATAACAATAATAGAAAATAAATTTTAAAACAAACGTTTACCTCTTTTACACTATTGTCATTTCTTTGCTTTAGAAGTGACGATTCCTTCTCTAAGGAAGCATTTTGTTTCTTCAAACAATCCACTTCCTTCATATACATTTCAATTTCAGACGCTTGTGTTGTAACTGATTGCGTTTCAGTTTGCAGCTTCAGCTGCAGGGAATATTTTTCTTGCTTTAAAACCTTAATAAAAGTAAATAAGTTAAAAACCAATTTAAAAATATAGTTAAAAAACAAAAACATTTCAAAATATATTGCACAAAAGGATAGGGACATATTTCTGTATTGTAATCAATTGTATTAACTACAACCGCAGGGGTCTTAGAGGTTTTTATAAGAGGTACCTATTTTGTAAAAATTTAGACATAATCAGTAAACATTATATTAAAAATAAGCAAACAAATAAGGTAAAATAAAAGAATATTTTCAAAAATTGTCACCACAAATAAAAATCATTTATGACAGACAAATTTCTACATATTTTTTCCCATATATTCAAAAACAATTTTACGATTGTAAAATTTTGGGTTTAAAATTGTATCCAAGTTTAAAAATCCATAAAAATCATTGTCCATGGTTGATTTCAACTTGTATTTCATAAAATGCATTTAACAATAAATGTTATTCTCATTATGAGGATATTTTATGCTGGGTCATACAGAATAAAGCTCAACAGAAAAAAAAATGCTTCATTATAAAATGAAGCTCTGTTAGAATAAATTAAGAATAATACTTAAGATAATAGGCCGAATTTCAACTTCCTGTAAAGTTTACAGATGGAGGACCTTGTCGTTTAATTTTAAAAAACTCCGCAAAAAAAGCTCGGTATAACATGTTGTAAGCGACTGGTTTGGCTTACCACACTATCTGACCAAACATGTGCTTCCTATTCTTAGCAGACAGCTGGCAGAAAAGCTCCTATCTTCATAAATTGAAACAAGAACAGGGTTTGCATGATACTAGTGCCTTTTCTTCCAATTCGATTAAGTAACAGAGCGGCTGACGCTCCTTTTCTTCCACCTCAATTCGGGACCTTGGCATGCTCTCAGCCAGGCATGGAGAGGAAAAGCGCTCTTCTCTCAAACCGGGTGGGAAGCGAGTTCTAGCAATCCTAGGGAAGGTTCCATTGCAAGTCAAAATGCTTAATTAACCAGGGATGTATCGTTTTTCAAGGGGTGTTAAAACAAAATTTTAAGAGACGAGGATAATCTTAGATCATGTTTTTTTAGAAGTATTTGGCCAAAACTACAGTTTTTCCGAAAGTTGAATTTTTGAAAGTACAACTAAACGGCAGTAAATTTGCCCTGAACAGACCCCATAACCATCAAATGGAGGAAACAAAATAACTTTCAAATTTTAAAAAAAAAACATAGAGGTTTGCCTGGAGTGTTGCTAAATATCATAGTACTCTTAAAGTTGGTCTCCTTCTGTGATGATTTTTTAAAAGTGTCTTACCAGCTGCTGCCTGGAAGTTGTCAAGATTTAGTCATTTTATTCCACTACAGATCCCGATACGGAAATCTTCCCAATAAAAATTTGATATTTCCTCTTAAAACTGATGTTTATAAAAGTGGCATTAATCTACTAAATTAATGAAAAACATAAATAATCGAAGAAGCAAAGTTTTTTTTACATCTCAATAAATAAATGCCTTCAAAAGAAAACGTTTTCAAATCTTTATATATCTGGATTGCTTTTAAGTCTGAAAACTCTTCACTGAAATTAAACTGATGTGCTTTATTTTTAACTCAGACTTTATTTTTGTTACATGAGTTTTTTTAAAAATTATTTTCAATCAAAAACGAAACATGTAATCGAAAGAGCATACATAGAAATAGCTGTGGAAAGATTTCTGTTTCGTGACCTGGAGCAAAATAGTCGCCAAGTTTTGGCAATTTCCAGGCAGCAGCCTGTGACTAATTAATAAAAAAAAATTACAGAAAGGGACCAACTTGAAAGGTATAACTCTTAGTCACGTCTCGGCAAACCTCCACATGTTTTTCTTTAAAAAAAATTGCAAGTTTAAAATCTTTTTGGCACCTTGGCGATTGTAGTTGGCACGATTCAGAAATATCCCCATAACTGTCACAGCCAATTCGAAATTTGGGCACTTTCCAGTTCTGAGAAGGATTGCTTCAGGAAAAAAATTGCAATTTTGAGCGATTTTTAAACTTAAATCGAAAGGGGAGATTTCCGTATAGGGATCTGTTGCAGAATAATCGTCAAGTCTTGGCAACTTCCCGCAAGAAACAGAAGAAGAAAAAAAATATTACAG